TCTATAATTCCAAATCAACTTAAATTACATTTCCATTATAACATCTTGTAAATTGTATTATAATAAATACTTCGCAAAATTTAAATAATTTCACGCTTTTTTGTAATAACAACTCTTAAAAATCATGGAGAATAATAAGATACAATCGTCTTTATTCGAAAAAAATAACTCCTGTGAAACATCATCATCACCTTGTAATGATCCTTGTGAAAAGCTTTTAGTTTGTAATGTATTTCATGAAGAACCTTCTTCATATACTGAAAGTAATTGCCCTATATCAAATAGTGATTCAAGAACTTCGTCTTTGTCAAGTATATCAAATTCTTCTGAAAATGATTTATTTATGCATGTATCTGGTACTACAAGAAAATCGACCTCATCAAATAATGACAATAGTGAATTGCCTTTGGATGCTTTAATGGATAATCTTTTTATAAATACTCACAAATCTATATTGGATCTTAAAAACTATGTTCGGAAGTTGGAGAGTGACTTAATAAAGCAGGACAAAAAATTAAAAGAGCAAAATGAGTCGATGAAGCAGTTTAACAAACAAACTGAGATAATAGAACAACTCGAAAAACAGAATAAAGGATTAAAAACACAGAATGAAGAGCTAAAAACACAGAATAAAGAATTAATACCACAGAATAAAGAGTTGAAAACACAATATAAAATGTTGGAAATGCATAACGAAGAATTAAAGAAGCAGAATGAAGAATTGAAAACACAAAATAAGGAATTGAAAAAAAATAACGAAGAATTGAAAAAAAATAGGGAGGAATTGGGAAAAAATAACGAGGAAATTGGAAAAAATTACAAAGAATTAAAGAAATGGAATGAAACACAAAATGAAGAATTGAAATTTAATAAGCTAGTTTACATTTTTAACTATAATTTTGAAAATAAACCCTTTTATCTGTATTTGTACCATATCATTACCTGTATAATATAGAACGTATAATTTTATTGCGCAATAAAAAACATTCGAAAATTAACCACTGCCCAATATACATATCTTCCAGTATATTACTAATACACGCAATTTTATGTCACGTTTTTGTAAACATTGCGCAGGCATGCTAACATGTTAAGCTAAAAGGAAATTTATTATCGTACAGCGCACCCCTCAAAAAAATTATATGGTTGAATATAAAGTACTCAACGGGTATATCCTATGTAAAAAAATTTCATATGAAAAATCACTTAGTATAGTACCTGGGTACTAACTTGGATTTTTCCCGTGGAATGTATCGTATCCAGGGTACTTT